AGACTGCCACGGCAATTGCATTTACAACAAAAATAAACAAATGGGATTAAATTAAACTGAAAAGCTTCTGTACAGCTAAGGAAAGACAACCTACCCAATGGGAAAGGATATTTGCACTTTTTTCTTTTTTTTTTTTCCTAAGACAGAGTCTCACTTTGTCACCTTCTGTAGAGTGCCATAGTGTCACAGCTCACAGCAACCTCCAGTTCTTGGGCTTAGGCGATTCTCCTGCCTCAGCCTCAAGAGTAGCTGGGACCACAGGCGCTCAACACAAAGCCCAGCTATTTGTTTGTTGTAGTTTGGATGGGGCCAAATTCAAACCCGCCACCCTCGATATATGGGGCTGGCACCCTAGTCACTGAGCCACAGGCACCACCCTATTTGCATATCTTGAATCAGACAAAAACTTAGTAACTAGGATCTATAGAGAACTTAAGTTAATCCACAAGAAAAAAAGCTAACAGTTCTATACATCAATGGGGAAAAGAGATGAACAGAACCTTCTCTAAAGAAGAGAGACAAATGGCTAGCAAACATATGAAAAAATGCTCATCATCCCTAACTATTAGAGAAATGCAAATTAAAACCACCCTGAGATATCATCTAACCCCAGTGAGAATAGCCCGTATCATAAAATCTCAAAACTGCAGATGCTGGCACGGATGTAGAGTAAAAGGAACACTTTTACACTGCTGGTCGGACGGCAAACTAATATAACCTTTTTGGAAGGAAGTATGGAGAAACCTCAACAAATTCAACCTAGACCTCCCGTTTGATCCCGCAATCCCATTACTGGGCATCTATCCAGAAGGAAAAAAATACTTTTCTTTTTTGTTTGTTTGTTTTGTTTTGTTTTTTTTTTTGAGACAGAGTCTCAAGCTGTCGCCAGCTCCAGGCTCTGGAGCTTGACGAGCTACAGGCGCTGAACCCAAGCAAATTTATCTTTAGCAGAAACCAGATAGTCTTCATTAATTAATTTCCAGTCTTCATTAAAAAAATCTGTTTTCTTCCTTTAGCATTCTTTTGGTCTTCTTTGACATGATGGACTGTTAAGCAGACAGAATAAAAATATATAATATTGAGCTGTACACCTGTTCACAAATTCCACTTCAAACAGAAACACAGTGCACCGTTGTCTAAAGTTGATAACAGACTAGTGTACATGACCCCCATAAACCCTTACAAACCAGCCTGGCCCAGTAGTGAGACCAGTCAGGTCGGGGAAGTTAGAACTACATCATGAACGTGACAGTGTCAGTTTAGCCCTTATGGCTTGTAATGTTCTAGTTGTGCCAGTAAATCTAGGAGGATTATTTCATTGAATCTTATTTTATTCTTGGGTATTCTAAATGTATTTGCTTAAAAAATAAAAATGTAAAATACAAAAAAAAAAGTAATGATACAAATACAAGGATTTGTTGCCTGAAATTTATATTCAGTCAAAAGGCTACAGTTAAGGACCTAGAAGGCACAAGTTCCCCACCCCTGCCCTATCCTTTATCTTGCTCTTTTCATTTTTTTGAAACAGAGTCTCAAGCTATCACCCTAGGTAGAGTGCTGTAGTGTCAGCTCACAGCAACCTCAAACTCTTGGGCTTAAGCGATTCTCTTGCCTCAGCCTCCCAAGTAGCTGGGACTACAGGTGTCCACCACAAAGCCCGGCTATTTTTTCGTTGTAATTGTCATTGTTGTTTGGCAGGCCCAGACTGGATTTGAACCTACCAGCTCTGGTATATGTGGCTGGGGCCTTAGCTGCTTGAGCTATAGACGCCGAGCCCATCTTACTCTTTTCTAATGCAGTTAGAATACTTCTAGCCAGAGTATTTCTTTCTTTTTTTTCTTTTCACTATTTTCTTTTCTTTTTCCTTTCCCTCACCCCTTCCCTCCTCCTCTCTCTCCCCTTCCCCCACCCCCCATTTGTCCTTATATCAAAGTTAAATACATAAGATTCATGCTTCTCCATTTCTGTGATGTCTCACTAAGAATAATGTGTTCTGGCTCGGCGCCTATAGCTCAACCGGCTAAGGCGCCAGCCACGTACACCTAAGGTGGCGGGTTCGAATCCCCAGCCTGGACCCGCCAAACAACGACGGCTGCAACCAAAAAATAGCTGGGCGTTATGGCGGGCGCCTGTGGTCCCAGCTACTTGGGAGGCGGAGGCAAGAGACTCGCTTGAGCCCAGGAGTTGGAGGTTGCTGTGAGCTGTAATGCCACGGCACTTTACCCAGGGGGACAGCTTGAGGCTCTGTCTCAAAAAAAAAAAAAAAAGAATAATGTGTTCCACCTCCATCCAGATTAATAGAAATGTTGCAAAATTTTCATTTTTTAAAATGGCTGAATAGTATTCCGTGGTGTACATGTACAACAGCTTCCTAAGCCTTTCCTGGGTTGAAGGGCATTTAGGCTGTTTCCACATTTTAGTGATTGTAAATTGAGCTGTGATAAACAGTCTAGTACAAGTGTCTTTATAATAAAAGTTTTTTTGGCTCGGCACCTGTGGCTCAAGTGGCCAAGGCGCCAGACATATATACCCGAGCTGGCAGGTTCAATTCCAGTCCGGGCCCACCAAACAACAATGATGGCTGCAACCAAAAAATAGCTGGGCGTTGTGGTGGGCACCTGTAGTCCCAGCTACTTAGAAGGCAGAGGCAGGAGACTCGATTGAGCCCAGGAGTTGGAGGTTGCTGTGAGCTGAGATGTCATAGCACTCTACCCAGGGTAACAGCTTGAGGCTCTGTCTCAAAAAAAAAAAAAAAAAAAAAGACCTGGAAATAATGCCACTGAGGCAACTTCCAAAGTAACTAAAATAACTTATATACTGGGAGGGGGGCATTCATTGATATGGAAATTGAGAAAGAATGGATTGTTAAAGTTGTAGGATGCTTAGACCCCAGTAACATTTCAAAATACAAATAACTTCCTCTTTCAAGTAGAGCCTAACTGACTGGTAGTATTAATTAGGCTTCAAATTAACAAAACAATTTCATGTGATCCGTCAAAAAGAAAATATGTATTATTCAAATGCTTAGGATGAAATCAACCATTACTACTACTGACTCAGTGCAGGTTTTATACTTCATTTGGATCTTCACAAGGTAAGATTCCTTTTACTACAAAGAGTTACTAACTTGCTTTGAGGTACTCTTGCAAACAAAACATGAGGAATTGGTATCTTCAACAACTTTTGAGAGAAAGTAATGAAGTTGGACTGAGTGTGGTAAATTTAATGAGCGTAGGTACAGACAATGCACCTTCTGTGACAGGAAAACATGACACGTTTATTACACACATTAAAAAAAAGTATATGTATTAACAGATCCAGATGCTCTCACTTCTTTTCACTGTATCTTGCCTAAGCAACATCTCTGTACTAAAGCTACTACTTTAAGTGACACTTTGCAGAATGTTTTATTTATTTATTCATTTTTTGCAGGTTTTTTTTGGCTAGGGCTGGGTTTGAACCGGCCACCTCCAGCATATAGGGCCAGCGCACTACTCCTTTGAGCCATAGGCGCAGCCCTACTTATCTCACTATGTTGTCCTCAGTAGAGTGCTGTGGTGACACAGCTCACAGCAACCTCAAACTCTTGGGCTTAAGTGATTCTCTTGCCTCAGCCTCCCAAGTAGCTGGGACTATGGGTGTCCACCACAACGCCCAGCTATTTTTTTTTTTTTTTGGCTGTAGTTGTCATTGTTATTTGGCAGGCCTAGGCTGGATTCAAACCTGCCAGCTCTGGTGTTGTTTGGCTGGTGCCCTAGCTGCTGAACTACAGGCACCGAGCCTGGCGGGCATAATGTAAGGGTATATGGCACACCTCTTGGGTGTGGGACACAACTATAAGAGGGACTCTACCTAACAAATGTAAACATTGTAACCTAGTTGTTTATACCCTCACATTAACCTGATATTAAGAAAAAAAAAAAAAAAAAAAAAGAGGCTCAGCACCTGTTGCTCAGCAGCTAGGGTGCTGGCCACATACACCAGGGCTGGCAGGTTTGAACTGCTAAACAATAATGACAACTGCAACAAAAAAACTAGCTGGGTGTTGTGGCGGGCACCTGTAGTCCCAGCTACTTCAGAGGCTGAGGCAAGAGAATCACTTAAGCCCAAGAGTTTGAGGTTGCTGTGACGCCACGGCACTCTACTGAGGGCAACACATAAAATTCTGTCTCAAAAAAAAAAAAAAAGAAAGAAAGAAAAAAAAGTACTTATAAGACAACTGAAGATTTGAATACTAATTGATATTCAAAATATTATTAATTTTTAGATGTGATAACAGCATTATGAGTTTTTAAAAGATCTTTTTATTTTATAGATAGCATACAAATACAGTGAAAACCTCTGTAAGCTGACCAAAGGACTGTTAACAAAATGTTAAGCGTACAGAGGTAGTCAACATAAAGAAATAGGCCCTGTACTGATACATACAGGTAGTGCACGTCTGGTCTATGAAAATTAGGTCAACTTAAGGAGGTGGTCAATGATGGAGGTTCTACTATATTTATGGATATAATATGGTATCTAGGGTTTCCAAAAAAATAATTCTGAAGGAGGAAGTCAGTGGGCATTAAGATAAAATAAGGTAAACACTGAAGGTGAAGAAAGAATACACAGGAATTCATTATACTATTCAACTTTTGCATATGTTTAAAATTTTCTATGTTTTTCAAAAAGGAAAAAAGACACATGGATTTATTATTGATTTATTCATTCAATAATTATAATCGATTTTATAACATAACTCAAAATATTACCCTTTTTTATCCACAAAAATTCAATTTTTATTTTGTTGATTTTGACTTTGTTTTTGAGCAGAGTTGCACATTGTGACTCGAGCTAGAATGTAGTACCTCAATCATAGTTCACTATAGCCTCTAACTTCTAGGGCCCAATTGAACCTCCTGGCTTAGCCTCCCAAATAGCTCTGATAGAATCCTATCCTGAGTTAATGGTCATAGGAGGCTGGCTACAACTTCTTTGTGAATTAACCTCAATTTTGAGGTGCTTGCTTCAGTAGCACCATATACTAAAATTGGAATGATACAGAGAAGGTTAGCATGGCCCCTGCGCAAGGATGACATGCAAATTTGTGAAGCATTCCACATTTTTTTGTGGTGTATGTACACCATGGAATATTATGCAGCCTTAAAGAAAGATGGAGACTTTATCTCTTACATGTTTACATGGATGGAACTGGAACATATTCTTCTTAGCAAAGTATCTCAAGAGTGGAAGAAAAAGTATCCAATGTACTCAGCCCTACTATGAAACCAATTTATAGCTTTCTTATGAAAGTGATAACCCAAATATAGCCCAAGAAGGGGAAAGGGCAGGGGGAGGGAGTGTAATTGGTGGCACCACACCTACAGTGCATCTTACAAGGGGACATGTGAAATTTACTAGGTAAAGAATATATTTATCTTAACACAATACTAAGAAAATGCCGAGAAGGCTATGTTAACAAGTTTGATGAAAATATTTCAAATTGTATATAAAACCAGCACATTGTATCCCATTATTGCATTAATGTACACAGCTATGATTTAATAAAAATTAAT